AATGTATATAAGATTTATGCTATAGCAGAAGACACAGGACTAGGTACGTTCCACAAGTCCGGCCAAGTTTCGAAAATGAGGTCGAACCAACACCAGTCTGATTAGGGCTAGGAGTCGGCAGTAAAAAAATCATGAATCGAATAAATGCACATGAGTAGGATCATAGCTCAGGCCTTTGTGTATAAAACTTATTTGAGATTAAATACCAAAAAAACTTATTATCTGTGATAACTGGAACTCTTTATAAAATAGAGAACTTACTTTTTTGAAGGAAGTCTATAGAAGGCAGTGGCCATAACATGGCCTAAGCCGCTCTTTGCTTCCATAATGGTATTTATAAGGTTTTCTTGACACCAACGTAGTCCTCCTGGTCGATACTTGGAGGGCGATGAAGCACCACCTACATCAAATGTCTCACTAACTATGCCTCCCCCGCCAGAGCCTGTACTAACTCGCGAAGCAGCGCCCCGAGAGCGTGATCCGCTGCTGCTAGCAATACTGCTTTCTTCCCCTTCGACATCGCCCATGCCAGCCCCACTCTCCTCGTCATCATCATCGATGCTACGAAGACCGCCTGAGCCTCCACCTCTGGTAGAGGCTGACCGAGAAACGGATCTGGAAGCAGCACGAGTCAACCCGCCCCGAGCAGCAAGCAGGCGAGAGCGCGGCGGACGACCCCGGGGCGCACCGGTCGGACGCCGACGGCTGCCCCGCCTAGATGGAGGTGTGCTTGAGGCTGTGGCTTTTTGAGGTGAAGCAAGAGAAGAGGAGCTCCGCGAAGACTCATCTAAAGAATATTCTTCTTCCTCATCATCATCGTCATCTTCCTCATCGGCGTCATCGTCCTCATCATCTTCATCAGAGTCACCACCGGGCAAAACGTTCTTCCGCTTCCTGCCGCCAAGCTTAATAGGAGGCTTATCCTGGACGAGCTCATCGATTTCGCTCTTGGCTGGTTCAATCATAGTAGCAAACTCGACAATCACATCGTGAAAACTTAAAGTTGGCTTTGAATGTCTCCTAGCAACGTGGGGTAAAGAAAAAAGATATAGCTATTGAATTTCTGTTCTGGTAAAAACAAACCAAATTCTTTAAGATAGATAACAATTTCATAAAGGGGTATACTTGACTGATAATCTCCCAATAGGTGCATAAATCAACAGATTTCATTCATTATGATATTACGTGATAAAATAAGTAACCCATATCCGGCAAAATGTTGGGCTGAAAAAGACTATCTGGTGTCCTGTGGCGACCACATGTTGAACCACTCTTGATTTGTGAATCCATACACCTTTGCAGGAGGTTCTGTGTCCTGATAGCTTCTTATGTATGGGTCGACAAGTCTCCCTCACATAAACACCAAACCTTATAGCAACCTGAACTGCAAAGGGCGCCGGAAAATTCTCTAAAAGGTGTGATCGAGGAAAGCGTTATTGTTTCTT